AGGGTTTGTTACCATTACTGACCACGCTCTCGGCTGGCGTGGGGACTTTTCCGTTGGCCTCCTTTGCTTCCTCTACAGCCTTGGGGTTTTTCAGGGCCTCTCCTTCACCCGCCTCCGTCATCTTCTTCTTCTGCGCAGTACCCACGGGAGCCTTAGCCTGTGTCTCTCCGTCGGAATACTTAGGCATGGGTGCAATCTCAACATCCACGCAAAAAGAAACCCTCCGTAACTTGGCACCATTCAGCTCTGAAATGGGACATCTCTCGCGGCGATGGTCCACGTTCAACACCCTGCGTTCGACAAGGCCATGCCCTAGTTTACCTCCTGGGCCGAGAGATCCGCCAGACGAGGACGATAGCCTCCGGAAGACTCCTAAGAAGCCAGCTTGGCTGTTCTTCGGCGGAGCTGGGGTATATGGCCCATTTCCTTCCGACCTGGCAGCTGGTGGAAGCACCGGATTCCTTGATCCACTGGCCGGAGGAACTCTCGAGTGGGTGACAGGTGGCGGCGGCGGTTGTGCTATTGAATCGTCCTCCTTCTCCGGAATCGGGGCATTCGTACTGGCCGGAGCGGTATTCCCAGCCTGAGCAGAGGACCCGGAAAACTTGGCAGAGATGTTGGAGAACCAAGAGTTCCGCCGGTGAGGCGGCCCAGTTGGGCCATTGCTCTTATCTACCGAACCCGAACGAGTTTTCCTCCTTGCATTTCCCGCGCCATTTGGTGACGGCGATGTTCCCAGTGAGCCATTGGCCTTGGATTCGGCCGATGCCGGCGAATTCGAGGGGTTCGTCGCTGGTGTTCGAGGGATCTGTTGGGGCAGTGGAGAATCGCTGGCGGATGGGGTTTTCCTAAGAATTTTGTCTATGGTAATTCGAGAGATTGATTAGCAATGCATGGCCAGCCACATCGGGGAGAACAAAGCGAAGGCGTCCATTCTGATGCGACAAAATACAACATACCCTTGGGGGAGGCCTGTGTCATCCAACTGACATCAACTCCGTGGACCTGCTCCATAATGCCAACCAGGCTCTATCGGATGCCCCAGCTGCAGGATAAAGATGCGGTTAAGGATGATGGTGGAAACCGAAAAGGAGGAGAGTTGGGGTCGGGACTAGACTGAGGCCCCAGAGGGCAAGCTCAGACTGCTCTTTTCTTTTTAAGCCTCGATATTCTGGCGGTTGCGAGAGGATCAAAGATGTCTCGAGGTGTAGCCAACCCAGCGCCAAGGACAAAGGTGGACGGGGCCTTCCTTAAGGTAATTATTTATCCAGGTTACCAGCCAACTACAGCACATCCTGGCCTGGATCCTTGGCGGGGTAGGGCAGCCTGGACCACCAAAGACATCATTGTAGCGCGACCGGTGGCGCCCACCTCGAGAACCCGTGGCCAATGGCCGCGATCCAAATGATGACAAAGTCTGGGGTCGAGCGAACTGGTCCTGGCATGGACGGCGGCGGTATATTACGCCGCATCTTGGTCAGCCTGCACCAAAAGACGAGACATGCTTGCTGGTCAAGCTAGTGCCATCGTCAGCCGCAGCACTTCGCTTGTCGACGGGCTCGCCGTGCAGCTGCCCGCGAACGGGCCTTCAGACGAAGGAGACGCCGTCCGGGAGAGTTTGGATGTATGGAGTCCAGGGTGCTAGTATTGGTAGTAGCTTAGCAGGTAGTCTAAAAGTCGTGTGACTTGGAGAGCTGGTTCCATCCAATGCTACTCCACTGCCCTGCTGATAACGGGTACTGCGGGTAGCAGCATCGGTACTTGCCAGCACCTCGATTCAATATATCCCGCTACTGCGGAAAGGCACCCACCCTGGTAGCGACCCTTCGACACATGTACTCAGCTATCAACCATCGCCTCCCAGCATCCAGCTTCAGGCCGTTCCGGTTACGTAGTTTGCCCACAAGATGAGGAATCGTGCCGCACATCATCGCCAAGCGCAGTCGCCTCTCCCACCTGTCCACACCCATCCAGCGTCATTTTACTGCTTAGAAATCCTTCTAAAGCCCCTTTTGGAAGGCTGTCTGCCCTATCCGCAACCTTGCTCATTCTTAATGCGGTGTCTATATGTTCGCCTCACCTGAGAGATACCGATCATATATGATCACATATCATGTCCGCATGGATCAAACCTACGGTCCGAGGTTACTGAGACCAACCCAACGAGCGCTGGTAGGTCAGCAGCATGTACACCGACATATTTTGAAGAGTGCCAACCCCCATTGTTTCTGTTGCTATCGTCGGCCTCGGCGGATGCCTGCCAACCTCTTTAGTCCCAGTTTCCGAGATCTCCACTCAAGAGGTAGAGGCATTTTCCTCTGAAATTTGACGTTCTCATGACAAATTTATTGTCGAATTCCTACTCAGGCGGAACAGAGCGAGATCGGGATCTATAACACTGGATCTGTTCCATTCCAACATTTGATCTGTGGCAAATGATACTCTTACCGCACCATGCGGAACCAGGAAGTCAATAACCACCCTACCAGGCCTACCTTCGATTATCTTTATCCGGTCCAGGCCAGTTGACTTATCAATAAAATAGTAGCACAGGTAGGTTGTTCCCTGCTCCCTTGTCACGCCGTTGACAATCCCACACGGCCATTTATGACGCGAGGCGCGAACAGGCCATGCTTCGGGGATGTATCGGGATACTGCTAGGTAGTCAACTCGGAAAATTACAAGCAGGCATGTTCCGGAAATCGTCTACAACGGTTCCCTGTGACAGCAGAAGACCGAATAATCGCTAATAATAGAATCTCGGCAATTGCGTGGAGGTACCAGCACCCCCAAGGGTAATTGACATGCGGAATGCCACACTCTTTCCGAAGAAATTTACATAATAACCTACGTTACACAAACTGGGGTTTGACGCAGCAAATCCACGCATCCTCAACTATCCAAAAGCAATATGAACAAGAAGCACACGCATTGGGACGAGCCTACCTGCGCTCTCACAAGAATCATAACAGGAAGCGCAATTGTGAGATGGTATAGTTTACGGAGCACAAATTTAACCAATCAAATTAGACGCGAGGCGTGATATCTTTTGTATTCATCTGAACATGATAACGGACCTGGCCCTCGAAACTCCAAACCCAAAGCCACGAAAGATGCAATTTTATTTTTAGACAGAAACAGCAGCTTATTCCTCGGCCAGGAGCTCTGCGATTCTGGCCTTGACACGCTCCTCCTTCTCGGCCTTGGTGGAGCGGGGAGTGCGGTACTTGAGGGAGATGGCCTTCCACTCCTCCTTGGTCTTCTTGGGGCCCTCGCCCTCGACCTTCTTGAAGGGGTCCTCACGGATGGCGGCGTGGGCCTCGGTGTAGAGCTCCTCGAGTCCCTCAGCCTCGACGTCGTCGTCGATGTACTGCTGGAACTGGCTCTGGTAGCGCTCCTCATCATCATCGGCCAGAGTCTCCATGTACTCAGCGACGTGGCCACCGAAGATGTAGTTGCGGAGGGTGTCGGCATCGAGCTCCTTGGTCTCCATGTCGTAACCGGGGAAACGCTTCTCGGAGTGGGGGATCAGAAGACCACCGTCGGAAGCACCCTTCATGGCACCGAAGACACGGGCACCAGTGGAGGTACGGGCAAGACCAATGTCGAGGAAGGCCTTGAAGGGGCGGCGCTCACCGTCGTCGGTCTCGGCTGCCTCGGTGAGGGTGAACTCACCATCAGGCTCCTCAACACCGCTGAAGTCCTCATCGAGACCGAGCTTCTTCAGGACACGGCGGGCGAGGAGGAGACCGGTGGCGTAGGCGGCAGCCCAGTTGGTCAGACCGTGCTTGATACCGTAGGCCTTGAGCTCGTGGGCGTAGGCAGCGGCGAAGACCTTGTCACCAGAGATCTCGGAAGAGACGATCTGGGTGATGATGTCCTTGTTGGTGAAGCGGACGACCATGCGGTACTTGGGGGCATTGTACTTGTTCTTGGCCTGGGTGATGAGGCGCTTGCGGGCGTAGTAGTCGGTCTTTCCCTGCTGTCTGCGCTTGTACTTGGTCTGGTAGCGACTGTAACGAGATTGCAATTAGCGACCGTGTGGTTTTTTTCTTGAAGATCCCGAATGACTTACCTGTAGTACGCGCTGTTCTTAACCAACTTGTGGAAAGGCTATTAAACATCCTCGAGTCAGCAATTTGCGCTTCAGATTTGCTCGTCCTCCTTCCGAAGCAACTTGCGATGACTCTAAACCCCGAGCAAAAACAATATATGGCATTTCTGCCAGTGCAATTGAGAGAGAAACATGAGAATCTCTTCAAGATAGGCCTAACTTACCATTGTGACGGTATTGACCAACGACGGCTAACTCTTGATGATGAGTGCTGGTTGTTGAAAGACAGATCAAACAGCGAGTGTAAATTTTGGTGGGGGAAATTTCAAGCCCTAAGATTCACATTTCGTGGTTGGCCCCACATTTCGAGAAAGTTGTCAAAACGTCTGCAGAAGGGTCGGGGACGAATCACATGACCTAGGCAAATAACCCCACATGTGTGCTACAGGGTAGCCAGGAGCACTGGATGGTTTGGAGCTTGGCAGATTGATTTTGACTTGCTTGATGGAGATTCTCGAGCCAACTCGTTCCTTTTGGACGTTTGACCCAAGTGCCAGTATCTGTTCCTATGTTGAGAAGGGCCTAGATGGGAGCATGCCTCTTTAGGTCAATGCCTAGAGAGGCAAGCGGCATGACCTATTGAGATTCATCATCTTCATCGTTTAAGCAAACTTCTCCAATTCCAAAGAGGTACTAGTTTGGGTACACGGGCCAGTTTCCAGCATCGCCAGTGTGCCTCCTTGCCCGTGCCGAGGTACTTCGGATAAGAAGCACCTTGAGATGGATGTTGCCTTTAGAGACTCCCTCACGGTTTGGCCAGTGCAATGTAGTCAGATCAAACTGAATTCGCCCACGATAACATCTTAATCGCTCGTGAATATTACTATCAGACACAACCTATTGGGCAATTCGTCATCTTCTAATCCCCGTCAACGCCCACCCAAATATGTCACCTCCCAACCAACCCAAAGTCCTCTTATTTGACATTGGGGGTGTTTGTGTAAGTAATCCAATGCCCTCTCGAAATTAATCAACACTTAAGCCATTCCCTTTCTTTTTTTAGACTTCTCGTCATTCTAACGCCCAATCCAGGTAAAATCTCCATTCCAGGTCATCCTAAATTATGAAGTCAGCCTAGGCATACCACCCGGATGGGTGAACTACTCCATCTCCAGAACCGCCCCCAACGGTTCATGGCAAAAGGTCGAGCGGGGTGAGATGAAAATCGACAAGGACTTCTACAAGGCGTTCAACCAAGACCTGCACGACACAGCCAGGTGGCGGGACTTCTACCGCAGAGAGCAGGCCAAGGACCCAAAGCTGCCCGAGGAAGTACCCGAGCTCCCGGACGTGGACGGCGAGTGGCTCTTCGAGACGATGATGTCGTCGTCCAATTTCCCGGACCCGTGGATGTTCCCCGCCTTGCAAAAACTCAAGGCGAGCGGGCGGTACATCCTGGCCGCCCTGAGCAACACGGTCGTCTTCCCACCGGGCCACGCCCTCCACTGCGAGGACTACTTCGACGACCCCGTGCGCAGCATCTTCGACGTGTTCGTCTCCTCGGCCCACGTCGGCCTGCGGAAGCCTGACCCTGCCATCTACCAGCTCGCGCTGGAGCTGGTCAACAAGAACGCCAAGGGCCGGGGCTTGCCCGACGTAGCGCCGTCGGACGTGGTGTTCTTGGACGATATTGGCGAAAACCTAAAGCAGGCGAAGAATCAGGGCTTCCGGACCATCAAGGTACATCTGGGCAAAGCTTATGAGGCTGTGGATGAACTGGAGAAGATCACGGGCCTGCAATTAGCAGGAAATCATCCCAAGGTTCCCAGTGGTAGGGATACGGTTGAAGTGAAGGCGAAGATCTAAGAGCGGACACAATGATTGGATAGATTTAGCTTCTGTTTGCATCTGAAATAGATGGCATTGGTGCTGAGCTGGTGCCCCCCTAAAACAGTTATGTTCTCTTAAGCAGTGGGAACAGACTTCACACATACACGATTAGGGCATCTTTTCTTGATGACTGTTGGTCAATAATGGATATCCATTTGGTAAGGCTTATTTTGGCAAAACACACTGCTCCTTTCTTCAGACCCCTCTTCCACGTAGGACATAAACTAGTCTTGATCACTAGAGTATTTTCACAACCACAATACACCTGTCCCACTGTATATTTGGGGAAGGAAGCCTTCACTCTTAAATTTTCGCCCAGGTCATGACCGTCATTAACAGGACATCTCGTATCCACGAGAGATCTTCCATTTCCCTCCTCGAATAGCCTCAGAAGATGAGCAGGGCTGGCAGCTCTGAGGTCATCCTAACTCGTGCTCAAGCTGTCGCAAGCGCAGTCCAAACCCTTGGTTTAGGTCACATTTGTACGAGAACCAGCCCTTTCCCCCCCCCCCCATTCATGCCAAAATGTACACAGTGGATGTCAGCTGGTAAACCAGCAAAACCGTCTCAAATACCCATAAACGCCTAGCTAGCAAGAACCCACGGGTATAGATATAAAACACACATTGATGAGTAACACACGTTATTTTCTCTATATGGAAAACAGCTGTTCCAATAGAATAATTTTGATTCCAATCGTTCAATTGGGGCCAAGGCGCTGCGGAATTGGGCCCTGGCCTAGCCAGCATATGTATCGAATGCGAGCATTCGAATTCCCGGGACGTCAGTATTGACATCAGTCATCATCTATCTCAATGATGTTCGCCGGTGCTGTGGCTTTCTTCTGATTAATCCTCTCGCCGACAGAACGGTTCGGCTGGATGGGGGACTCGTCCTCTGAATCGTCCAGTTCGGGAACTGCAGTCCAACTACCATCGGCCGTAACTAGGATCTTTTTCGTCTTGCCCAAGCCCTGCGCAAGCAGGCCCTTGCGTACTCCAGCAAAGAATTCATCCACGCGAAGGCTGCTTGGGCGAGCATCAAGGAAACAGATAGGGCATTTCCAGTTATCGGCCATTGAAGGCTCCTCGAGTCCTCCGCCCGGTTTTCCTTGGCGAGTTTGTAGCCATGTTTCCAGGTCGAAACAATCCAGATGTTTACATTCAACTCCACGGACTGGGACTTCAAACAAGGAGGAACTGAACGGGTCTGCAACATTGATGCAGAATGTATTGTCCTCGACCACGACATCGTCAGACTGGGACGGTTTCAGTCGTCGTTTAATCTCAGCTCCGGTTTCCTCGGCTGAGATCGGGGGTGCTTCTAATACCATGGACGTCACAACGTCGTGCGACATGGTACTCACGATTTCAATGGCAACGAAATACGTCATCCCCTTTTTGTAGTTGACCGGTTTATCGGGGAAACTAATCCTGACAACATTATCCCCTTTAACCACCAAGTCCGACAGGTCAACTGGGAGATCATGGTGAAAGTGCTGCTTCCGGCGAACCATCAGGGATTGGCCGTTTAAGGCGGGGAAAATCGCCTGGGGCCAGTGAGTAGGGGAAACCACCCAGTCCGATGGCGATACTGTATCATCGGACTCGGGGCGCATACAAAGCCGTAAACGATATCGAAGTGACCCATCTCCGTAATAGCGAACCGGTAGGCCGACCTCACTCTCGAAAGCCAGCGGTATTCTAGCCAAGCTATCATGTGATACAGTAAAACCCAGACTTCTGGGACCCGTCTGAGGCGGAAATCTCATCGGCCCAAACGCAAAGTCAGAGACTTGTTGGTAGTGCCGTACAAGAGACGGGAGCTGACGCGCAGCTCTGCGTTCTGGGCTCCGAAGGGTTGACAAGTGCGCTGCTGACGCGTGAGAAAGCCAATCATACGGGCTACTGGGGTATTCATGCTCAGGAATTCGCCGAACTCGTTGTGCTGCGATCTGTAGGTTTTGATATTGGACGCCCCCAGCATCAGCAACACCATTGGCTGAGACTGTCCGGGAGTTCGCAGCATGTGGAGGTATATTATTGGGCATGTGGAGCATACCCCGTTGGCTCTGTCCAAGTTGTGCAATTGATGGAGCCGGATGCCGTGGCTCATGGGCTTGCTGAACAGGGCGCCCATGCTGTGACTGCGGGATTTGAAGGGCATAAGGAATCTGTTGGTTTGGCAGAACATGCTGTGGATGGACTGGGGGTTGGTGAGGAATTCGCTGACTTGGCAAAATCTGTTGAGCTTGCTGAGGGTGATATTGCTGCGGATACTGGCGCGACGGTGCAAACTGCGGGGCATGTTGCATGGCCGGTTGAAAATGTTGCTGATGATAATGAGGTGAAGGATAAGACATCACCTGCGTCGCTTGGGGGTGTGTTGGAGATGGAAGTGGCGCCATGCTCACTGAAATCGGCGACGGGTTGGTTTGGGGCGATGATGGGTGAGAGTTTGGCTGGAGATGATTCATCTGAGTGATGGCATTTGGATGCTGACCAACTGCCTGCTGTTGGGCTTGGAGGATATGAAGGGGCACGCCTGTTGGTATGCTATTAGATCTAGGAAGAGCAGGGATAGGCATGGCAACGTTCGGTGCAATGAGTTGACTGGGAAGCATCTGCCCTGATTGAGCTGGGGAACCGGAAGTTGGGGTTGGTGGCGCCGATGCAGTTGGAAACGTCTGCGCTCGTTGAGGTTGTACCGAGGAAGACGCGCTTGGTGAACGACTCGTTTCTAAAGGTAGTGTTAGCACATGGGGGATCCGCGCATCAATCACTGGGAAACCCATCTCACCTGCTTGCTTAGCCTCCCGAGCAAGGTCTGAGTAATGGCGAATCCGCTCCTGTCGATACTTTTGAATGAGATCTGCTGGAGCCCCGATTTCCCTCAGGTGAGCTTCATCCTCCTGGTCTTTACAAAAGACAGCATTCAGCTGCCCGGCAACGGAGTCCCCAATACCAACAACCCTCCGACTGACTGTGAAAAAAGTTCCCTGCAAGATTCTCGAATCGCAATTCAGAGTTGGTCCCAGCTCGAAGGCTGTCAATGGATATTTCCGTGTCTTTGCCTGAGCAAGCATTCGGTCCCAGCGTAGGACAAATGCAGTCAGGAAAGTACCAATACGAGGTGCCAACGAAGGAATTGCAAGCATGCCATCCCCAGACACGGGTTTTGGGAATTCCGCGAACCATACCAAGGAATTGTAGGCTAGGAGTGAATTGGGGCGAAGAATGTTAGTGAGAAAGCCGAATCCGTGGTCAATCGTAGCCCGTTCCAGAGTCGGGAATGTTCCGTACGCCCTATCAGCATCCAGGGACCAAAGACACAACAACTGGTGGAGGAGCACGTAAAAGCCATCGCCGGCTAAGAGAGCATCTCTAAGATACTTGAACCTAGGCGACTCGATCCCACTTCCCAAGTTAGCCCACCCACCACAAGCGGCGATTCTGTTATCAAGTTGTTGGCAATAGTGCTGCCACTGCCCAGCGAGGTCTGTTATTGCTGAATGTTCATGCGGCATGCCTGTGCGAGGCCGCTGGGGCGCTCGATTGTCGGCAGAAGTGGAAGAGGGTCTGGTTCTTTTCCTGGTTAAGGACGGCCTAATATTTGTCGTTCTTGGAGCAACGGATTCAGTCGGGCCGGAGACTGGTGTTGTCGGTGTTTGGGGTTTGGGCGACGCTGTCGAGACGGGAGGAGGAGCAACGCTCTGTGCCGTGGGCGAGCCGGCCTGAGAGGAAACTGGCTCCGAAGTCGCTTGGGTCGGCCGGGGCTTTGGGCCATGCTCAATGTGAACCATGCCAACATCAACGGGTTGAGGAGTTTCTGTCGTGGCGGGTGATGGCTGGCTCGCGGCAGGCGATTGTCGGAGTGCGCGCAGTTCGGCTTCTGTATTACGATCCTCAGTCCGGAATGATTCGGTGCCCGTCTGTTCGCTTGGACTCGCATGGCGAGTTGAAAGGGCCGGGCTAAGTTCGTTTGTCAGAGCCGGCGAAGGGAGGAGTGAGCCGTCTCTGTGTAAGGCAAGTTAGCGAGAGCCATAAGCTGACCGGAGCTAAGGGTGGCCGTACCTTGGTGCTGCCGTGACCAGTTGCTGATCGTGTTTTTGCGAAGCTCTCTGGTCGTCTGGGGCCACGTCCTTGACCCCGTCCCCGTTCTCCGTAACAGGGGTTTTGCGCACACGCTTCTCGGCTGCTTTCGATTGAGAAACTGGGCGGACTGTGGATTTCCTTGGCTTCAGACCAGTCGTGCTCTTGGTGTTCTGGTACCACGACGGCCTGCGCCCGCCTAGGAAGGCATTTAGAGTCTGGTTGGAGGCAGCGACCTGGACGTCTTCGGTGCTCTTTGGTGGCGGTGGCATGGCAGGGTTGTGCAGAGCGGTCGCTCTCTCGTGGGCGTGAGAGAGCGCCCTCAGGAAGTACCTACTAACGCGACGAATGCGGGGTGAATGGACAAGTCAACCAGCCGTGAGGCCGACCAGCGTGGGGGAAATGCGCAGTCTCACACAAGCACGCGCGCACACAACTCTCTGGCCAGGAGGGTTGTTGGCGACGGCAACTGCTTCGTCGCTGCAAATGGTGTGGCGTCCAAAAGCCTGAAGCCTGCCACACTGGCTGGCTCTTTACTAAGGGTCACCGCAAGTTTGGATTTGGCAGGTCCGGCTTCGATAGTGCAAGTGCGATCGACCAGCAATTAGGTACCTACCTACCTAACAGCCCCGATACGAGGAGTCAAGTTATTCTATCGTATAAAAAAGTCTATAGCCACCCGTACGGTAAGCAATTTCGTCCCATTGTCAAACGCTTCAGCCGTACAGCCACTTGCGAAGAGGCCTAAGCGCGCTGACCAAGAGTGAAGGGACAGGCCTTGGTGCATAGCCATTGGAACCGCTTGCGCCAATACTCCATAAAATATTGTATGATTTCCGACGACAATGCGTGATTGGTTACACCGCATGGCCGACAGACACATCCATCGATGGCGCCTAGCTGTTTCTGATGGCACCTTCTTGGTTCCGAAGGAGAGGTCGACGGCTACCTGCTTACACGCCCTTGGCGGGTGTCAAATCGAACTCTAATGGACATCCATATAGTAAGTCTCATCAGCCCTCGGATACATGCATCCGTTTCGGCACCCGGCATGTTGACGCAATCGAGACGTGCTTCTGTTTACTGCCTATCTGCGTGTTGGGGATACCTCCCTGGCCGTAGCGATGGGTTCTTGCAGATGTGTGCTTGCTACCTAAAACATATTGGTTTCACAGTAAGTGACGGCTGGGCACGTTGCTCGTCTTGGACAGGACTGCGTTGTCTAGTGTTTCATCCTTCTCGGCTACTCGCAGCTTTCTCCTTCTAGAAAGGAAGAAAAAGCAAAAAACAAAGACAAAAAAGAAAGAACAAGCACAAACATTGTTTCGTGCAACGCAGGCTTCCGACAAGTCACCCGTATAGGGTAGGTAGGCACAATACGAGGTACCAGCGCAGGGTATTCCAGCTAATCTAAACTACGGGCCGTGTTGAAAGCGGCAGCTAAGGTAGCAACTTGGGGCCGGAGGGGCCTCTGCAATTTGTCAATTGAGAGCAAAGAATGCCGGGCAGACAGGCCTTGCTAGTAATGTGACAGACTATCACTGCCAGCGTCACAAGCCGACCATTGGCAACACCCCCCTTGCTTCCAGGTGCCAATACTATGCACCTACCCGACACCCAGTGCTTCACTCTGTACGTGAGATTTGATGACACCGGTATCGCACCTGCCAGGAAGGTATCCGTTCCGCCAAGTGGGACTAGCAGTTTGCACTTGCTGGTACCTGACATTTTGGTGGGAAATGTAGTAATACCGACCGAGGGGTATTTGCTCGTGGGTACTTGGTCCTCTTTGAGCGTACAGGCAAGTCCTCCCGTATGCTGATATATCTGGTAATATGGAAGGCAGGCAGGGGTGGCGATTGAAGGGTCTAATTTCCTGGAGAGAGCCACCGCACTCAACGTTTGGGTTTCTTTATCATCTCCCCCTCTCTGTTATTGGCATCGGAATCATTTTAATCCTAGAATAGCATTTAGGTAGATATAGCATGTACCTAGCTTACCTCACTTTGCCTTGCTTCTCGAGCCCAGAGCATGGCACTGACATGGCCTGCAGTGCGACGCATTGCCCCCAGGTTTTGCAGGTCAACACTAAATATGACTTTATTCCGTATTGATGGGCCGTGGGATTCCAGCAGCCAGAGAATGATTCTGGTGCTGAGGATCCAGTGCATCTTGATTCTAGATCCTGGCACATAGGGATCCCTGTCGGTTCTGGGCTGGTTCGATGTTTACTGCGCTGTTGGGGGGTCGTGATTAAATTAACACGACGACGGACCTACTTACGTAGGTAGTAAGATGCCTCCTATAGACAGTCAGAAGGCCCCGTTTTGTCAGTTGGTCCTGGGCCTCGCTCATTTGCCGACGCCCGGGCATCCGCACTCTGGTGAATGTGATTCTCTGGCTTCTCGTGCTGCCGTCCTGTCGAGATCGTCGGCTGCGCCAAGGGCCCGGCCTCGACTAGCCCCAGCGCTGGGTCGAGTAATGAATGGTGCTATACTAAATCAGACGTCTGAGGCGTGCCGTGTCAATCGGTTCCTGAGGGGCCACCAGCGCGGCCGTGTGCAATGCGCATTGTTGCCGTGCCCAATTTTGACATCCAATCGCAGTCTCCCACGCCAACCTTGTCACCTCAGCCCCCTCCCTCACTGGAGTTCCTCCAGTGATTGCGCTCCACCACACTCTGTTCACTTGCGCGATTCATTCTGACGACCTTCACGAGCTGGTGCCAAAAAAAGCTTGTGGACGCTGCTGGCTCATGGCGCCTGTCCATCCCGCGCAGCCTCCTCGCTCCGACACCATCTAGAATATCAATCTCCCAACGTCCTGTCGATCTGCTGTCTCACTCGCTAGTGTTTCTCGAATTGCGGGTCTTGTTTCTTGACGAACGCGGTTGTCGAGAGCTTGCTTGCCTCTCCTCATAACCCCAGTCTGCCGTCGACTCTCTGCGACACTCGACTCATTCCATCGTCAGTCATGGCTGCTAGGGGTCCGTCCACGGCGCAGAGTCGCCCTGATACGGGCGATACTCTGATGGTCATTCGTGAGTATTGTTTCCCCCCAACAACTGTGCCGTCAAGCTTAGTCTACACTCCCGTCGAGCCGCTTTGGTTGCTAATCGTCCCCGCGCCCCTTTAAACAGACGACTTTATAGCTAGGAGCTCGGACGAATTAAGCCTCTCCAAGGGTGATCGGGTTGAGCTGGTTGAACGAGACGATGAGTTCGGTGACGGATGGTTTCTTGGACGACATCTTGGCAACGGGAATACTGGCCTTTTCCCCGAAGGTTTGTCTGCAGCACCGTTGAGACGACGATTGATTCTCGGCTAACTTGGGCAGTGTATACTCGGCCAGCACCCAAAACTACAGCGACTCCGACGCACCCATCGGCGACACCCCTTTCCCCCCTCCCCGAAGTTACTCACGATGCTACGCCCTCCTCCCCCGCCCAGCAAGAAGAGAAGAAGACAGAGACACCCTCAAAGCCTGGTCACTCTACCCCCAAAACTGAAGACACACCGGTAACGTTACCCCTAAGTTCAGCGAAACCGGATTCTTTGGCCCCTTCACCTGCGGTCAAGCAAGGGCCCGAAGGCCTCGCTCGACTGAACAACCCTAGCCAAGACAGCCAGGTCTTGAACGAGACTCTCAACGTTATCAACGAGCACATCACCAATCTCCGATCGCCAGCGAGCAGCAGTGCTTTGCCCTCGATTGCACCAGACTCGAGTAGCGAGTACAGCGCACCTCTGGATCGCCTATCATACATACACGGTGAAGAGACTGATGATGAAGAAGAGGCTGCTCACACTCGGTTGGAGGTGGAGTCCTGGACACCCGATCAAGTGGCTGAGCACCTCTTTACATCTGGAGTCGAGAAACACCACTGTGAGGTATTCCGAGACCAGGAGATCTCCGGAGAGGTTCTTCTGGGGATGGACCAGAGCTCCCTATTTATCAAGGCATTTGATCTTGGATCTGTTGGTCGTCGCTTGAAGACGTGGCACAAAATCAAGTCTCTTCAAGATGAGGTCAATGGCATAGCAACTCGCAGAACGACTAGGGGAAGCGATAGGTCGACTGACATGACTCCTCGGACTCGTGGGCGGACCAGCACCGTGACAAGCGCCACAACGAACCCGCCAATGACCATCCAAACCCAGAGACTGTCTATTAATCACACTCCTCCAGCACTGACGCCCAACTCAACAACCACACAAGACAGCTCTTTGCATTCAGGGCATCACAAGCGACCGTCGGCAGCTTCCGTTCGAGATCTACACCACTCGCGCCGTCACTCCTCGACTGACTACCATCTTAATGCCGGGTCGACTCCCAGACTGGCAAGCAATGGCACATTCCCTGGCGCTGTTGACCCAATGCCACACAAGAAACAACCTTCCTTCGACCGAAATTGGAATCTTGGAAGCGCTTTTGCCCAAACAACATCCCCACGCCCTATTTCCTCCGCCGGTGCACGAGGAATTGCTGGAGGATCTGATGTCGATCTTCAGGACCCTGCTGTCGATCTCGAGCGGGGATACTTTTCTGGCACCGATGCAGACGGCAGGACACGTACGAATCTTCGAAAGCGTGACAGTGCGGCTCGCTCAAACAGGGGGAGCTATGCTGAGGAGCAAAGAGTGCGAAGCGCGACGGCATTGTCTAGACACTCCCGATATGGAAGTGTTGACTCGTACCGTGAGGGTGCGCAGTCTGCTGCACAAAAATATTTTGGCGCTCAGCCTGGACTTCACCGAAGGACGACATCTACCAACGCACCGGCGCCCGAATCACCGCGAATCTCCACCTCAGTCAAGGACAATCCCTCACCCACTGTCACGAGGTTGGACACTTCTCGCGGTTCCGACTCTTCCAAGGGGCCTCCAACTCCAGCTAAAGATTCAGACTGGCTCTCATCGTTGATTAATAAGCCCATGTCGAAATCTGGTGGATTTGGGATGCGAGCAATTTCTGATAATTTAAGCTTCGACCGATCTAAAGCATCATCTGTTGATTTTAAGGACAAGGACCCCTCGATAACCTCTCCAACGAGGACTGGTTCGACTACTCCCTCAGGAGGGGCGAGCCTTGAACTCGAGTCGCCGGATATGACCAAGAGCCCTGGTGCGACCAACACTCCCGCAAGTCGAAACAGGGGACGGAAGACGAAGAAGGAGACAAGTGCTTACACAAAAGGACTTTTAAAAATTAGTCCAAAGGATGCGATCAAGGATGCCGATTACAGTGGCTGGATGAGAAAGAAGAGCTCCAA